TCATTCACTTAAGACGTAACTGACTGCATTTACCAGAATGATTGTCGAGATCAGTATGTTGTCATAATTTCATGTGTATATGTGTCTGTTCAAATGCAAGGAGTTATGAAAGAGAATTCAGTTTCTCTAAAACGCACATCTAAATGTGCACATAGAAAACGGCGTGTGAGTAACGAAACAAGTTCCTTTCGCCTTTTCTTGCTAGAATGGTTTAAAATCGCTTGTGTGTGTAAACTAGGGATGTTCATTTCGGTTATTTTTCCTAATCGACAACCGACTCTCGTTAACCGACAAGATAAATTAGCAACGATAAGTGTCTGTGACCCGTTAAAAATACTAACATTTGTTTCCCGGGGATTAATTTTACATGCGCAAAAAGCAGCAAACAACAGAACATGAGGATTCACATGGTCATCATATCACATCACGCACCTGCAGCACTTCTGCGAGCGGTAGCCTATAGCCTATATAATGAATAAATAGAAGAAACATATTTTTACTTAAATATTAAATTAAGAAAATGAAAGAAAAACTGCAACAAGTAGCCTAGTACAATTATAAATTAAGAAAATGTAAGAAAAAAAAGTAGCCTATATGCAGAGGTTCGGTTCATTTTTGTGCTGAGCAAAAGGAAACAGATGGCAGAAAGCGGCATCCTATTTTTCTTTAGGCTTATTTTACAAAAGCACAAAGAATTGTTTTTATTGTGAATGTACACAAATAAAGGCAAACCTTTTAAAAATCTGATTATCTTTATGACTAAAAGGAGTAGTTTCTTCCACTGTTAGAAGGAAGAAATTTAAGTGATTTAACTGCGCACACACAGTTAAGCATTGCTACCTTGACATTGCAGCCTGTTCATTATCATAATAAAATACAGTCAGTCAAACATATGGAAAAAAACTCTGTACTAAAAAATATGTAGTAAAATCTGTTAAGTCGTTAAGGTCAAGTGTTATCACCGTACTGCTGTGATGTAAAACATTTTGTTTTACGTGGATATTGGAACGCGAGTGAAGTACATAATAAATAATAATTTGTCAAACACATCGCGAATACGGAAACATTTGATTTTGTGTGGAATGAGAGACCCAACGTTGGTTTCAGTTTCGTGTCAACCTAAATTAATTCGTTTTGGCTTGTCGTTAATATTGCTATAGCTTCTTATATTTGAATTATTTAATTATTTTCTAAATGAAAGGATTTGTTGCGGAGTGAGGGAACTAACACTAGCTATGTTTACCGTGTTTATTATAATGTTTGTAAATATTTCGCATCGGCATTAGCCTAGTTCTATTTCTGAATGAAATAATAAAATGCGACTTATACACAAAAAAAATGTTTCCCCCTAAAAAAACTTTTTTTTTTATACGTGTAGCGTATTTTAACCATGCAGCAAACCGTTTTAAATATTTTGATAAATTACTGAAAAAAATAAATAATTAAATGACTTTTTTAACTGTTTAACTGATTGTATTAATCGGTCAAAATTATTACAGTCGGTTACCCGGTTAAACGGTTAAAATGAACATCCCTAATGGAAATATGTATATTATCTCGAACGGTCAATTTTTTGTCATTAAGAGTACATTTCTCACCACAGGTTAGGAAAGAATTGTGTGTTGTGAAGAAAATAACTCATGATTTCTGCATATAGGTTTTAGAGGTTATATCTGTGGTAGAATAAAAAGTACAAGTACAGTAATTACATGGTGATGTGTGAGTCTAAAAAGGAACTGGGTGAACAAAAGAGAACAAGCACTGCATATTAATCTAATGTGGTTTAGATGTAATGAACTACTGCGTGTTTATTTTCTTATGCAACCGTTTAACAGCACACACAATACGTCAGCAGCTGAAGTTCAGTAACAATTAATTGCTAATATCAAGTGGTGTTGTGGGTAACTTACCAGTTTAATGGCCACATATTCATTGGTGTAAAGATTTTTCCCGAGTCGAAGCTCGCCAAAGTTCCCACAGCCGATCTTCTTTCCTACTCGGAAATTAGGGCCAACCATAAGCACCCCAGAGTTGGACCCAGAGCCTCGGCTGCCCCCATGCCCTGTCCTGCTCCCACCAGTCTTAGACATTCTCTTTCCTTCCTCCGACTCTCCTTTTCCTCCTCCTCCTCTCTTATCAAAATCCATAAGCTTGTGATACCCCGGCCTCTCCACGATTACTCCACTGCCATAAAATCACAGAGCCACCAAAACAACTAACAACAGGGGCCGGGGAATGGGATGGAGGAGAGGAATTTAGAGAGAAAGAGAGTGGAGGGAATGGTTTATCCACAACACAGCTCTACACATGTAGATTAAACTAGACATTAACTGCTTTTATAGATGGGGAAGGTATAGCAGACAATCCAAGGGCGATATGATTCAGCGCAAAGACATCATATGGAATATTCCTTAAATCCAACCATAGAGGAGTACGTTCCTCTGGAGAAGGACAAATGCACACGTCCCTAGCTGGTAAAACTGAAGCGGTGTCTGGCATTGGTTTCCATTCTTTGTGTCCCCTCCAGGTGGTTTTGCAGAGATGTGTAAGGCATTCCTTGTGTCGAAGTATGAAGGCAGAGCATATCAAAGTTTGTGTCGAGAGGAAACTGGTGGCACATCAGAACCTTAACACTTTCGAATATCTGGGGCAAAGAAAAGGCACAATTAGCACTAAATAGACTGCTTAAAAGAACACTGAACCTGGCACATGTTCCACTATGCTGGTGAGGAATACACATTGCACTAGGGCTGTGACGGTGGCAGATGTTTACCAATGGACCAACTACCATCGGTGGCGCAGTGTTGATATATATATATATATATATATATTTAATATTAAGTATATATATATAATTTATGTATAAAAAAATGTGTGCGTGTATATAATTTTGAAACACAAATAATAATAAATTAGGCTCAATCATCTATTAACAATGTTTATTTTAGCACTTCCATCAGTGAACACGCAGCCTGCAAAACACTAAAATAAATATCAAAGAAATAATACAGTTAAACAAGAAAGTAGCCTAAATAAGAAACACACCCTGTCTACAGGATGCGAGTGGTGCGGCAGGACAAAATACTAGGCTATAGAACTCATTATATTCAGTGATGATACACTGGATGCGGCGCGGCACGACATGACATGACAAATCCCCGACAGTAAACTGCCTCATCCTATTTATGAAGTACTGACACAAAGTTCAAATGTCCTGTGTAGACACTAGACAGACTAAACCTGTTGCGACACTGCAGTGTCGTGTCCGGTGTAAACACGGTTCACTGTTTCGCCACCAAGCAAGCGGGCGCATTAACGCCTCGTCTGCACACGCTCTCTTTGAAATAGGAATTGTTGCCACATTTCTTGTTAACATCTACCATTTATCGCTGCCTCGTTTGTATTTGGCCAGTTTGGAGAAAGCCTCACCAAACCTGACAAGCCAGGCGTTTGCGATCATGGGAACTTGAAGACACTTGTACAAACGCGGATGGGTGACATTAATGGAGATGGCTCCAGATTGGCGATGTCCATCGCCCAACACAAAATTAATTTGCTGAATGCAGAATAAACTGTATTTTCCTGCACTCAAACTAGGGCTGTGTATCACCAGCAAAGTCACGATACGATACGTATTACGATACAGAGGCCACGATACGATACATGACTGCACTGAATTCCACCTCAGCAGAATTTTGAAAAACAGCTGTTTATTAAACACTGCTTACTATAGTGCCATTTCTAACTAGTGGCAGAAAGCCTATGGGTGAGACTTCCGGTTCATTAGCCGCTATAGGTAAATAACGAGGAGAATAACAACGTGCAGTAAACGGTAAAACTGTTTGCACTACAAACCAGTGTGTTCATAATTAAGATAATACATTAAAATAATATGATAAGACACACCAACTTTCAATATCAAGCAGCAAAACTAACTGTTTTGCTCAGCTAAAAATAGCTGGACGGAGTGGACGCAGATGAGACCGGAAGCCAGACCCATATAATTTACAAATGGCCGCGCCCATTTTTACGACAAGAAAAAGGTGGATAGTGCCAATTCTAACTATTGGCAGAGCAGGCAGTTGACCTCTGCATTATGAAGGGCCTCCATAACTGTACCACAGTACAATATAGGTAATGGCATATGTTTCATGTTTACATTGTGCACACCCCACCAGGTACAATATTCTGATTGTTTGCATCTTGTTTTTAAGCCCATAAATAATAATGTACTTGCTCTAATAAATTTATATTATAATGTACTCATTCTAATATGTTTAAAAAATAATTTACATTGCTGGTAAGTTATCATTGCACAAATGAACACACTCTCTACAATAAAAAAAATAAATTAGAAGAGTTCTAAACTAACGCGCTGTCTTCACTGTATCTAACACACACACTCTCAAGGCTGATTTAAGGCTGATTTGTACTCGACGCGTCCGCAAGTTCGCTTTGAGTGCGCGCAACGTCGTTTCTTGTGGCGGTGTGCACAAAATTTTTTGTACCTTTCCGCGCAGCTCTGCTTCCGAAGATGCATGAGTTCAAAGCGACTCTAGCCGAACATGCAAGTCTGTGCCAGCATTTGTGTGAAACAGAATCAGTTTGGTGTTAAGTGCAGTCACACACACAGGTACACTTGTATACAAAACTTCGTATTATGCTTGTTATAGAGTGTGTGACGTCACGTTCACTACCGCCGGTGGCAGTAGACAACCGCGGTGATGCGGTTGTCACGTTTCGTATATCTTTGTTTCGGTTTCTCCTTTTGAATGACGAATATATACAATTGATAGCTACTGATATAGACAGTTAATTCCTCTCACGCAGGCGCAGAACACATGTGTTAGTTTGCCGTCGGCTGTAGTCTGTGCGGTGTGTTCAACCGCAGCTTTTTGGTCCGACACTGCCGACGCGAGGCAACAACACCATCGGCTTTCGTCGCCGCTAATTCTTTGAAGTCGGCTTGGTGTGTTCAGGCCTTTAGACTTTAGTTCTTCTGCAGAACACAAATAAAGATATTCTGAAGAATTATTTTGCTGGTAACCATTGACTTCCATTTTATGGACAAAAAAACAAACATTTCTCAAAATATCTTATTTTATGTTGTGCAGAAAAAGGTAAGTCATACAGGTAGGGTTGCAAAAGGATGGAAAATTTCCAGAAAATTTTCAGCAACTTTCCTAAAGTTTCTGAAATATTCCAAAAAAATCCCAGAAAGTTTCCAAAATGTTCCGCCTTTTTGCAACCCTACATACAGGTTTGTAAAGAAATATAATTCCTGGGTGAACTATCCCATGAATATATTAATGATTTATAAGACAGTTTAACAATTCTTAAACAGAAATATATTGAAAGAAACCCCCAAAATAACCTAATAACCTAATTTCTCAGGGCTAAAGAAGAAAGCTTTCTTGTGTTACCAATTACAACTTTATAAATCTATTACAGTTACTCAGTTACTAGCTTTTAACACTTTGTGGCAAGACAATGGATTACAATATTTATACATAAAAGTCCTACTTAAACACAATTTGCTTTGAATTAAAGCCTCAAATTCTTGTAAGACCTCAAATAAAACAGAACACATACAATAAAAAGTGTAGGAAGAAAACAACAGAACTGCACCATCACCGTCTCTATGAAACACAATTTAGAGTCTGAACGTTTGAGGGACATGAAACCAGAGACTATCTCCCTACAGGAAATGTTATCTAGTGTTTCGGACTTCCAGCTCTAAAAATGCATCCCTCATGAGTTTGAGATGAGGCCTGAGGTCGTGTGAAGATGAGCAGGAGTCATCTTGGACCAAGTGTCTCGGTTATGTTATTAGCGGAGAGAGGCACCTCGGCAGATGTTATGGATGATGCCGTTCATGGTTTTATTTTTCCTAGCCACATCACCTGTATTATCTTATAACTATACTACTGCCATATGGATATTACTCTGACACACTCATCTCTGACCAATAACAGGTTATGTCCTGATTGTACCACTGAAAACCATTTGATAGCATTAATACACTTTCAGCAAAGCTGCTTTGAAAAAATATGTGTTGTGAAATTCACTATACAAATGAAATTGAACTGAATTTTTAACAACAGAGACTGTCCCTTAAAAACAAACTTGAAAGAATTCATGCCCAGTAAGCTTATGCTTAATAGATAGATAGATAGATCTCATGACAGAAAAGAAATCTGGTGTCTTTACATCAAGCCATTTTGTTATTTCGCACAAAATTTGATATCAGTCTAAAAAAACAATGTCTTTCATTTCTGCCTGTGGATTTGTAGCATTCATTCCCCTTTCAATAACAAGGTATCAGTATCAGAAACTATGATTAAATGCTATCAGATCTATAAAGTTAACCATCCAGCTAAGACTATAATCCATCGTCTCATGTCGGATCAGGCCTGATCTACATGCATCGACAACAAAACTGTTTTACATTGCCAGCAAATGTGATATCAGGCCTGCACACTGGCCCTCCCTCTAGATTCAGCAGCATGTCTTATGAAATGAACAATTGCTCTAGAAATGAAAACGCGCTACACTGTCAAATATTTATTTGGAAAAGACATCTAAAGGGCTAACTTGCGGGAAGTAAACTAGACGAATGTGCCTGCTAGCCTAATTCAGCTCGCTACCAAAGTATGAGAAAGAAACTTGAGTTACTAAGATAAACTCCGAACATATTTTGGCACGCCATGTTCTCTTTGTAAAAGTGCATTATATGAACGCAAAGACAGCAAAAAAGGGACGTTCTTGTGAATCCTCGAGTGCTGAAGAGCTAATGTTGTCAGCTAGCCACTGAGTTGCCAACTAAGCAGCAGAAATTAGTGAACACAGGCTAAAGCGCTAACTAACGTTAGCCCAAACAAGCTAACGATATGTGGCCTGCGCTTCAGCGAGCTAACCAGAGTTACTAAATCAACATATCAGCGGGTTATGGAACATCAAAGACAGCTTGTTATTGTCTACAACCACATTATACATACGTCAAAGCAATATTTGTTGACAAGCACACAGATTTTGTTGCCAGCCATTAACCGGGCAACTCCTTAATCCCGAGCAGCCGAAATTGGTCTAAATTACACACAAGGAATATTCCGTACATCGTTCAAGGAGGAAGACGTATCAACAGATTAGACACTTTTACCTACATCTCTGTATTATAAATCGATGACAGTTCCCATTTTGTCGGTTTTAATGTCCATTTCTTGAAGCCATTATCATTTTTTCTCCCTCTACTCTGATATCCATTTAAGCCTCTCCGTACAGCTGGCGCGTTTCCTCCGTTGTCGTTGATCACATTACTAGGGCTAAGTTACAAATCTTGCGTAGTAGTGTTTGGAGAATACCTGGTCATAAAATTCCGCGCTCTTCGGAAAATATAATGCGCAGTTTCATTCAACGTAAAGCTACGTGAGAAACTGAACCGGATGCCGTAGAAACTGCTGTCGACCGCTTTTACAATACTGACAATGTATTATGTATTATGCATTAGCCTACTCATCACATTTTTATGTCCCCAACATTTTGTCTTTAGTATATTGGATAAAATACTGAACACACTTAAATTATGTTAGTTTGGGTTATAAAAAAAGTTATCTTTTATTCAGAATGCATTAAATTGATCAAAAGTGACAGTAAAGCCATTAATTAATTAAACATAGGTGTTTATTTTTTTATATTTTTGGTTATTATTTAAACATGAAAACTTTAAAGCAATTTGTTCAATATATTTTTGAAATCTGGCTATACCTCACATTCATTTTAAAAGGTATTCAAAATAGAATCTTTTCTAATATAAGTCTTTACTGTCGATTTATCAATTTAACACATCCTTGCTGAATAAAAATGTTAGCTTCTTCCAAAAAAAAAGAAAGAAAGAAAAAAATGACTGACCCCAAACTTTTGAATGGTAGCATATATTGTTACAGAAGATTTCTATTTTGAATAAATGCTGTTCTTTTCAACGTTTTATTCATCAAAGAATCCTGAAAAAAGTATTACAGTTGCCAAAAAAAATAAATAAAAAATAGCAGCATAAGCTGCATAACTATTTCCAACAATGATAATAAATCAGCTTAGGCTATTAGAAAGATTTTTGAAGGGTCATGTGACACTGAAGGCTGCGTAATGGGTGATGAAAATTCAACTTTGCATCACAGAAATAAATTCTATTTTTAAAGTATTTTAAAGTAGAAAAACATTATTTTGAATTCTAATATTTCACAGTATTACTGTTTTCTCTGTATTTCTGATCAAATAAATGCAGCCTTGATGAGTATAAGAACTTCTTTAAAAACGTTACAAATCTTACTGATCCCAAAACTTTGAACGGCAGTGTGTATATACAAGCCTATAGGCTTATATAGTATGTCTTCATAACAATAATTAGTCATTAGTAGCTTAAATTTAGTCATCGCAGTTGGTACACTCTTAAAAATAAAGGTGCTTCACGATGCCATAGAAGAACCTTTTTGTCTAAAAGGTTCCATAAAGAACCTTTAACATCTGAAGAACCTTTCTGTTTCACAAAAGGTTCTTTGTGGCGAAAGAAGGTTCTTCAGATTACAAAAAGCTGAAAAAAGCGATGGTTCTTTAAAGAACCTTTGACTGAATGGTTCTTTTGTGGAACCAAAAATGGTTCTTCTATGGCATCGCTTGAAGAACCTTTTGAAGCACCTTTATTTTTAAGAGTGTAGGTGACAAGATGTTTTGACTGAATTGTGAAGTCTTTTTGAATTCCCAAGTATACCATAGTTGCTGTAAAAAATAAATAAATTTAAAAAATTAAAAACACAAATTATGCAAAAATCATTTAGATGCTTGACGTGTGAGATAGATGACCTTTTCATTAAAACCTGCAAAATATTTTTAATTTGAGGGATTTTTATTGCTTGGCCTTATCTTATTGCTCATCAACTGATAAAGCCACAGCTTGGCTAATTTATTCATGACCTGCGAGTTCCTGTCTCTCTGCAGAGTCTATTCCTACTCAAACCTCAATGGTTGGTCACATTTCAGTACAAACATGTGCTTTCTGAAATTCATTTTGCTGCTGCTCATTTCATCACATATAAGTGGTAAGTTTCAAAAAAGGTGCGTAGTAACTTTTTTACTCAGACATATTTGGAGTGCTACATGTCTATCATTATTTCTTTTAGGTGGCTGTCGGCCCAGTATCAGTGTTATAGCAGGACCAAGTGTTTGCTCCGGTCAGGACTTTACCCTCACATGTCAGTTGGATTGTGATGGACCATCAAGCCATGTAAAACTGGTGAAAGAAGAACAAATTCTTGAGTCTTCTAATAACTGTCTCACCATACACGTTCACAGTGCAAATAAGAATCATTCAGGAACATATAGCTGCCAAACAGAGAATGGTTCAAAGAGCAGGGTTTATGTAACAGTGAAAGGTAAGTGTGAAATTCTCTTGGCTCTTTAAAAATATTCAATTTTGAAAACTTCATAACTTAAGAAAGTTTGTGTGTGTGTGTGTGTGTGTGTGTGATTCAGACTGTAGTTTTTCTTCAACTTACATATCAGAATACTTACCCACTATAAATACAACATCACCCTCTCTGATTAATACCACATACCAAGGCCACACACCATCAAGTAAGTTTCTCCATTAACTTCTTAATTTCTGAGACTTAATCCATCAGTACAGAATCTAGATTACTGAAATAAATCATTAAAGTAGCATTTCAGTTAAAGGAAAAGTTCACACAAAAATTTTAATTTGCTGAAAATGTACTCACCCTCGGGCCATCCAAAATGTAGATGAGTTGTTTCTTCATCAGAACAGAGATTTGGAGAAATTTAGCATTACATCACTTGCTCACCAATGGATCCTCTGCAGTGAATGGGTGCCGTCAGAATGTGAGTCCAAACAGCTGGTAAAAACATCACAATAATCCACAAGGAATCCACATGACTTCAGTGATAAGCGTGTTTGCAAGAAACAAATCCATCATTAAGGCATTTTAACTTGAAACTGTCACTTCTGGCCAAAATATGATAAGTTTTCACTGAAGAAAGCAATATTATAGATAGAGAGCTCGTTTGAATGAATCGTTTGTCTTAATGATGGATTTGTGTCTTACAAACACACAGCTTTTCACTTCGCAAGATGTTAACTGGACTGGAGTTGTGTGGATTACTTGTGGATTACTAAGATTTTTGTGTTTTTATCAGCTGTTTAAACTCTCATTCTGACGGCACCCATTCACTGCAGAAGATCCATTGGTGAGCAAGTGATGTAATGCTAAATTTATCCAATTCTGATCCAGTGAATAAACAAACTCATCTACATCTTGGATGGCCTGAGGGTGAATAATTTTTCTACAGATTTTCATTTTTGGGTGAACTATTCCTTTAAAGTTGGTTGATTGGCTTCGTCCAGGAATGCAATGGTACAAAACTTACAGGATGAGCAAAATATAACTTTTGTTGATAAGTGTAATGCAATATCATTTAACTCTTCTGTTGTCCTGTTAAGAAATTGCTCCGACTTAACATAACAAGCATCAGAAAAATATTGTGAATTACACTACAACATATTAAAAGTTTTTATATTGTCCCAAAGTGAATTACAATTGAAAAAAAATATTTAATTGAATATTGATGGCACAATTTGCACAAAGAAAAGTTCAACATTTCTGCAACAGTTGTGCCTTTTCCTTGCCTTTGTGCCTTTTGCTAGTGAATGAACTGTGAATCTTAGAGCTACAACTTTAGTTCTAGTGCATTTAGTTTAACTGAATATGTGTGTGTGTGTGTGTGTGTGTCTCTGTCTCCGTCAGGGGTCTTGGAGCCAGTGCTGATATGGTACATGCTGTTCAAGACAGGGGTTTTCCTCATCATATCAATAACTGCAGCACTGATAAGTGTGTGCCAGAAGCAGTGAAAAAGACCTGAATTTCTGTCATGTAAATTAAAAACTATATGCTTCTAATAAATCATGTTCTCCATGTATCTTCTCTTGTATGATGTTATACAGAATTCAGTATTCTTCTTAGGCTGAATCTGTAAATGTCAGATGCTCTGTGTTGTTCATAAGTCTAATGTCCGGTGCTCTTGTGGATCCTGACCTTTTCTTTCTGCACTAGTTCTTGATTTCTGAACAGTTTCAGAAGATGATGTAAATGAACACTTTTTCACAGGTAAAGCTTTGTGTTTGATAATGTCCTCTCAGCATTTTTACTAACAACTAATTAAAGCCATGTTTATACATTTTCACAAGTCTCATCTGACGGAAAGCCTTTCAAATTGATCCATTATATCCTCTCCATGATTCTTTTCAACAACTCCCATCTGGTTAAAATAGAAAATATGTATCTCATTTGCTATTTGTGTCTTAAATAAGATTTGTTGTTGTTGTTTCCATGTAAAATATATTTGTTTTGTATAAGGATCTGTCAAAGACAATTGTCCAGCAGTCTAAGACAATAAAGCTTTTTAAAACTGAATTTGAACATAACCGCATCTCACATTTTCAGGGGGAAAAATGTTAATGTTCTTTTCGTTGCTGTAAATTATATAGCAGTGAAATTAGCTGTGTAGACAAAATAATGACGGGATTTCAACACTTGGGGGAGCTCGTGTTTATTTTCAACCCTGCCCTTTCCCAATACAGATTAATACACTTTATCTAGAGCTGTTTATTCCTATTCATAAAGGCTTTTTATTGTCAGCCATATTTATCATATTATGTTTTTTTTTATCTCTGATCAACATGAGGACATAATATTAGCTATTCTGACACACAAGTCACTCGTCCTTACGAAATATTCAGGTAAATATCATTGTGCAGTTTTGTCAGCACGGCCTGCAATAGCCTAATCAGAGACTACCTTTATGCTTATGGGGGAAAATATTTAAAGAAACATTCCATTGAATTAATTTTTGTAACACCATAATATACTACAAAATAATCACCATTGAGAATAATGACCCAAAAATAAAAGTAAAACATTTGGATAGATTACAATTATGCCTATATATTTTCCCTCGTTTACCCAACAGTAAATAAATCCACGTGCGCGGTTATTCAGAAACGTTCTCTCAACATATTTGTCTAAGACGGTGAAGGTCTCGCTGATATGCAGGCAGTAGCCTACATGTGAAAGTATGCGTGACCTGCATGTGAACTACGTTATGGGATAATGAAACGTTTTCCAAATCTGTGACACGAGTATGTTATCCACACAGACAACTAAAATGACGTCCGACAGCATTTACATGAAGGACAGAAGTTCAGTGATAGAGACAAATGAGCAACTGTGTGAATACAAAATAAATAAACTTCTCTATATTTATGCTTACATGAAATGTGGAAAAAGCTGATCATTAAAGCATCTTTAAAGATGCAGGTGTTCTCTTTTAATACAAATTAACTGAACTTTGGTGGCAGGCTGTTTGGAATAATAATAATCCCCTGAGTTAAGGTAGTCAATTATGAGAGTTTTTACAAGAAAACTGTAACCATTGTAGTTGAACATTTCTCCATGTTCTTTATTTTGGCCCCCCTGGGTCAGATGAGAAACAAAAATGGTACAACCACATGAAAATACAAGATAAACAAGAAAACTACACCACTGGTCCCTAAAATAGGTGTAGACTAATAATTTTCATGTGTGAGGGGGTACAAAAATTCAATGGAAAAAAAAAAAAAAAAAAAAAAAAAAAAAAGTCGTTCTCAGAAAGAAAGACCAAACTCAGCATATTCCAAGGTACTTTCCATCAGAAAAAGAGGAAATCAACTGCGTATGCATTTCAAGAACAAAATGCTTTAAAAAAAAAAAAAATTCCAATAATGATAGGCTTTGCTTCACTCAGAGTGAGTAGGAGCACTTGGTTTTGTTCCTGGTTGATCTGCATATTTGCTGGTGACATGATTCAAGAAAAAAATGTGTCAAACAATAGTGTCTACAGTCATCTTAGAAAGAAATGGCAGAAAATCAGTAACAACCGAGAAAAAAAAAAAAAAAAAAAAAAAAAAAGGGGGGGGGGGGGGATCCACACATTCTCTCTTACAAGTTCAACATCCTTACATTTTTAAAAACAAAAGCTGCCACTTTAAAAAAGGAAGATGAAAATCTCCCTTTCCAACACACCAACAATAAATAAAAAAAAGAGGGCAGGGGACGAGGGAATGGGCAAAGTAATATAGCAGCATGGCACATTGGTATGTCTGGAGTTTTATTGCGTATCTGAGCTTCACCTTTTCATTAGATATCAGTCTACAAGTACAAAATGAAGGCTAACAGAGGACTTAAGGTCTTTTCATGCAATAATCACCTTTATTCAAACAGTGAATGGAGTCATTGACAGAGCCCGTGTGTTCACGAAATGTTCAATGACTAACTGAATGAATGGTGAAAATGGGAGTTGGAAATGAAAATGGTAGAGGATTTCTCTAAATTCGCTACAGAACCTTGAAATGGACCTCTGGCAGTTCCTTATACTGCAGGTCAAAAGGGGATGAAACATAATTATGCAACTAATTCCTGTTTTCCTGAGAGGCCAAGTACAAAAGTTGTGCTGCACTGCTCCGTCTCCCTGAAAAAGGCTAAACTTTCCAGTGCGAGGACAAAACGGGAATGTAAAACACCAATGAACTGACATAGGAGGAGTCTTTCTGCTTTAAAATATACTTCGGTTACTCATTCAGAGAGGTTTCTGCTGAAAACACTGCTGAGATTCGCGTTTGGCAGAAAATAAGTGTTACACAGTGGAGTGAAATTGGTAAATGAGGTCCTTGATAAATAAATTCAGACCAGAGAAACAACATGTCTGCAATTTCTTCCCTGGATAACTTGAATAATAAGTCATTTGCCACTTAAGTCCCAGCAACACTTGCATAGTCTCAGTCTGCCATCAATATCACTTTGGGAGTGAGAAATAAGTCTCAAATATGGCATAAGAACAAATCGAATGATTCGGCCACTGGGGGGTCCCATGTGAGCTCAAAGGCAAAGAGCAGAATGTTTTTCCTGATGCTTAGAAATTAAATGGCTTAGGTGGGGTCCAGCTTTAGATGAATGAAAGCAACTAGAGTCCTTTGGTTCCCGAGGTTTTTCGTAAACATTGTTATATTGACAGATTCCTGGGACTCAGACGTCAACAAGTCTTTTTCCTGGGTAAAAAGCTTGTTGTGGCCAATCAAAACTGTTTGCAGGGGCCTTTGAGGTGCTTTTAAGTGCTACAAACATGAGTCCTTCTCACAAGAGCATAGAGCCCACAAAGTAAGTGGGCAGAGAGGTCAAGATGTCACTGCCTAGTTGAAGATTCTGATAGCGTCATCAATAGTCGTCAGTGGAGAGCGGAGGCTGGAAAATGTGGTAGAGATCAGGCACAGTCACCTACGATCACAAGTGGGGCGAGGAGATGGCGTAGTTCAGCAGCACACACTGGCCCTCGGTGCTGGCTGCCTGCGGTCTTCCTGCGGAGGGCCAGCTTGGACCTGGAGGAAGGAGACCACAGCATGGAGCCGGAGCTGGAGGAGAGGAGAAGCGGGGAGAAAAGCTCATTCTCTAACTGCTGCTCCTCACTCTCTTCCCTCTCAGCCAGCTGCCGGTTCATGGCTACGGCCTGCCCTGCAAAGAACGTCAGGTCCTGAGCGCTACCACCCCTGGAGAAAGAACATAGAATGTAAGGATGGCATGATTAACGGTCTGCTATTCTCGGTCAAAACTATTGCTGCTGAAATTTATAAGTGTATCACTAAGCCCCCAATATACTTAAAGCCAGATTGAAGAACAAACTGGCATGGCGTAATTTCCAACCAACATCAAGGTAAAACAGGGTTCGCTTGTTAAAGCGAACTTTCTGAAATGTTTGCTCTGGCGGGGTAAACCACTTTGAACTACAGTTCCATTGCTCCATGGCAATTTCTTAAAAGGATAGTTCACTCAAATGAAAGATCTGTCATTAACTACTCACCCTCATGTCGTTCCAAACTTGCAAGATCTTCGTTCATCGGAACACAGATTAAGATATATTTGATGAAATCCAAGAGCTTTCTGACCCTGCATAGACAGCAATGTAACAGAAACGTTGTAAGGACATCTTTAAAATAGTCCATATGGCATCAGCGTTGTGGTACTCTCGTGAATGGCGGTGGATGGTGATGAAAGTTATTTTTGTTTTCTTTGCACACAAAAAGCATTCAACTGTAGCTTTGTAAAATTATGGTTGAACCACTGATGTCACATGGACTATTTTAACGATGTCCTTACTACCTTTCTGGGCCTTGAATGTGGTAGTTGTGTTGCGGTCCATGCAGGTTCAGAAAGCTCTCGGATTTCATAAAAAAAAAAAAAAAAAACTTAATTTGTGTTCCAAAGATGAATGAAGAATTTTCATTTTTGGGTGAAATAACCCGAATCGGTAGGTGTGCTCGGATATTTCAAACTTCTTTTGACTCTCCAAGCAAAGAATGAAAAAACTTCGCTGCGAGTATATCAGGACATTTAGTATGCAATATACTCACCTCTGATGTAATATGGATGCAGACACAGTGTTGGGTGCACACTAAGGTGAAGAACAACAGAAATGGGTCAAAAAACATGATTTACAGCACAAGAAGCATATAATTAATTGGTGTTAAATAGAGTCTCAGGAATCCTAGAGATGGAAGGGAATGGACATACCCCCTTGACCCAAGGGTGCTGCAGAACCTGGGCAGCACTGAGGCGGTCTTTGGCATCCCGCACCAACAGCTTGGTGATGAGGTCTTTGGCTGCAGGAGAGATGTGTGCCCAGTCCTTCTCTGGAAACTCGTACTTGCCTTCCTGAATACTCTCAAACAGCATGCTCTGTGGATGCATTGTGATGAATGGTATTAAACATCAATTTGCAGAAGCAATATCACTATTCAGAATCAACCCTAAGGTTTTTATCCCTTTTTAAATTAGCAAATGTATGTAAATAAACTTGTGACAATGCAACCCAATTGGGCTAGTGACGATTTAGTCGGGCAGTCCTTATTGTCAAACTCCGACTACGAAACCAGGTGGCTAGACCTGCCACGATTCCATGGAAAGTTTTGAACTTTCACTGCTTTCGATACTGAATGCTTTCCCAGAAAACCATGTATCTTGCCCAAGTATGTGGTGTACCTGGCAGGCTTGGCAGGGCTCTCCCCAGTCCCAACCACAGTCTGTTCCACAGCGACCCACAAAGGGCGGGTATCCACTAAGCATGATGTAGAGGATGACGCCAAGGCTCCACAGGTCACAGCGCTTGTCGTAGATGCTAGCTTCCTCATTAAAGGCCTCCACCACCTCAGGAGCCATGTATTCAGCTGAGCCACACTGTAGGAATAAAACAAACCGTTTAGTACGTACTGTAAAAGTCCTCATACACACACACGGAAAAGTCCACACATTTCCCACATGGGTTTTAAGGGCCACATGAACTCAGTGGGTAGAGCAGAGAGGAACAATCTTGGTTTCACTTCATGTTTACGATTACAATCCCATCAGCATGTCACTTGGTTGGACAACAAGTTCAAAAGTACCATAAATTACAAGGTGAGCCATCTAGAGCTACAACATTTAATCACAGCTACCAGCACTCCCTCGGCTTGGCCTCTTCTGTTTGTTTTCACCTGCAGGGCATTATCAAGTTCATTGTTCTGAGTTAAGCTGGGGTGGCCTGATCGGATTCAGACCAGGACGTGTCAGCGGACAACTGTTCCAGCAGGGCCCACAGGCTGCTGCTGCTGTCTGCACTGCGTCATGTGGAAACTAGGCCAAAAGGTTGCAGCTTGGGGGTAAAAAAAGAAAAAGGATTTAAGCCGCTCGACATCAGCTAGGGATAAACAAGTCCCAACCCTGCTCGAATGTTACATAACACACACACATACATATGAATGGACATTCTGAATGGTGCACTAATACTTAATGCAATGAACAGAGACACTCTGGGGAGCAAACAGAGGAGGTTAGCAATTTAGCGGGACATGAGCAAATTCGTTTATTTTTATGGAAGTGCAGCTGTCTGGTAGAAGATTGTTACACAACTACTGTATGGGTCACTGATGCAAACGGAGGAAGCTGAAGACATTATGCCAGTGTTTCTTTGCAGGCCGAGGGGGAGGACACTACATGTCCTCAGAGGACACTCCAAAAAATAAGCCAGGACGGCCATCTCTCGGACCCTGACAAATCTATGCCTAAGCCTAAGTAACCTCGCAAGCACACGCCACATTCCCTCAAACCATCCGAGCTCCGTAAACGTGTCAGGGGCAATCACTTTCAAGGAAACGCGATAGCCGACAAAAATAGTGTGCCATGATAAATTGTGACACTGTGGTTTTACCGTAAGCGGCCCTTGTAATCTTAGGTAAGAGCTCTTGGCTAACCAATCAAAGTTCATAAAAGATCACCTAATTGTGGGAGCACAATTGTAAAATAACTATAGTACTTGTCCCACATCAGGAATTGAAGTATATTGCGATTCAACAAAATCACAGACAGTCCAGCAATGATCCCCAATTGTCAGTTTATTGCCTGGCTGGTTTTGCTTTCAGCATGACTGGGCTCTTACATAACGCTCCTCTGTGCACGAGGAATCTTAGGATTTGCAGTCGCTTGGGAGCAACCCCACCCACTTCCTCTCATCATTAAAAAGAAAAAAAAAATGTGTTTCCAGACAACATGTACGTTATGGAGTAAGGATTTGCACATAGTTTGCTGGGTACAAGAGTGTAACGGTGTACAGAGCAAAAGAGGTCAAGCCTGAATGTACACAGAGACGATAAATAAAGTAATCTTGTTTATGTCAGTGACCTCAGCCACTGAAGGTTAGCACTGGCATTGCGTCAATAACCGTATGTTCTCGGATGTTTATGAAGGGAATGTTATCATGGCAAGACAGGACTTTAGCTCTGGCAAAACCAGGGAGTTTCCCTGGTCACTATTCTAGCAAGTAAAACCACAGTTGTGGGTGAAAAACGCAACGGTATTTAAAGTGATAGTTCACCCAAAGTGAAAACTGTATAATCTGTAATTCAATGTTCAAAACCCACAAGATTTATCAAGCACTTTTGAGCTTCCATTTACCATATTTGAGGTGTTAAAAAAAAAAAAAAAAAACTTTTGCATGTTTTGAAGATGAACAAATGTCAACTTTGGAATGACATGACAGTTTTTGTTTTTTGGGTGAACTAAACCCATTATGTTAGAGAGAGAAAAAAGTCAATGCTTGAAAGGAGTTGAAAACGAAAAGGTAAAATGCCACGTAGAACTGTGCCATGGATTTGTTCTTGAACATCCTGGCGCAGTTATGCTCAAATCAAAAAGGTAAATGCAGAAGGTTCACCATCTAAGTTCTGTCCCACCTCCTTCCGGGTGCAGAGGAAACTCTTCATGAAAAAGGAAAAACTCGTAGACCTCAGAAAGAACAGACCATACAAAACCACAAGCCTCTAGTAACCAGTCTGAACACTTCAAAAGCAACTGAAAACCCCAGGGTGTGGTGAGAAGACTGAGGTATGGGTGAAAGGATTTCCATGAGGAATTTTGTTTATGCTCTCTGTACATGAAGACATTCACATTAAAAGACCTTAGCCTGTTCCCTTCAGACTCGGAGAGCTAATAAAACCACTGTTCGTCTACTGTGCTCCTTGATCTGTAATCTTGACAACTCTGTAACCCAAGGTAACGCGTCACATCAAAACAAATGTTCAATGCTCACAAAACTTGGTAACTGGAGGTGATCACTTGGAGGTTTATTGGCTTTGGCTTTAATTCAATAGCCTTTATCTCTACTCTTCTTATTTTGATATCTAGAAGTCCAATGCAGTGAAGTGGCAATAAAAATGGCATTTAAAACACTGGCTAGATTTAGTGGCTTGACTTACGTAACACCAAATTAAATGTAGGTGACACAATACGTCCATATGGAAACATAATTGTGAATAAGTCTTCAAAAACCTTTTATCAATGCAAAAAAAAATTAATCCTTTCTGGATGAAGTCATAAACCCCCCTGACTTTTTCCCTTCTCCTACAATCACCTGTCCTACAGGTATGCTATTCATGTTTTTAAAATTTGTATTAATGAAAAATACCATAATTTCATAAATATTATGTTTAAATAAAAACAATTTAAATTGCAGCACGTGTCATTTACTAGGGGTGGAACGGTTCAACTTACTCACAGTTCGGTTTGTATCACAGTTTTAGAGTCACGGTTTCGGTACGTGCTAATGTTTAGGCAAAACCTATACGGTCAAATAAAAGAAAATAAGAATAATCTAACTACAAGCAACAGCACAAACAAATACAATAGAGTAAAGATACAAATAAAATAAACTGATTTAAAAAAAATTTTTTTTTTTTTTAGGTAGGTCTAACAGTTTTTAGGTACAGAAATTGAATTAAGTAATGAAATGTAAACCAGCATTGCATATTTAACTGTATAAAATTAAAGATCACGCTTTATTAAAGTTACAAAAGCTATTCAATCAAGAGCAGTGAGTGATTTCTTTGTTGTTTCTGTTTGATTAATATCAATAAAGTGATGTCACTTTAAGAGAATGCACTGATCCAGGACGTTTAGCCGGCTATGTCTGCTACAGGATACTTACCAAGACGGGCATTTTGACAATGTTTGTGAGAATTTGTCCATTTAAATAAAACTTCAGAGAAAGCTTAATATTTGCACACGTTCTGAGGCGTGGGTTTGCACACTTTGGATGAGCGCATGCACAAATCTTCTCACTGCGCGTGTAAGCTCGCATCCTCTGGCTCTTAAAATGTTTAAACTGGTGAAGATTAAACGAGTTTAGCTTAAACACAGATATCAACGTGCACTGTTCAGGTGCGCGCGCACTATCAGCACCCGGGTGATGACGGAATAAATGCTCATATTCCAGCATACGGCATTCGCATTGAACTAGAGTGAATGGTTTGTCCCCCCCCCCAATCGCTGTTGTTGTAATGTATTGGGAAGCCAGAATGCGCATCCTTCAATAGAAACGTATATTAGCCGAACCCTGTTTGTTTTACGTGGTATTTATAGCAAACCATATTACAGATGCGTTGTAAGATTTAAGTTGAACCGAGGTCCTAGCACGTGCCGAACCGTGTGTGGAGAACCGTACGGTTTGATTTTTTTTCCGCGAACCGTTCCATCCCTTAAACCATTAAAGGTGTTAGTTCACCCAAAAATGAAAATTACGGTTGAACCCGATGTCACATCGACTATTTTACCGATGTCCTTGCTACGCTTCTGTACGTTGATCGTGGTAATATCCTTGCTGTCTGTGGAGGGGTCAGGGAGCTCTCAGATTCCATAAAAAATGTTCTTCATTTGTGTTCCGAAGATGAACGAAGGTCTTATGGGTTTGGAAGGACATGAGGGTGATGACAATTTTCCTTTTTGGGTTAACTATCTCTTTAATATACACGTGTTAAACTCACCGGAGTCAAGAGCTCAGGGGTGGAGATGGGAGAGCTGTCACTATTCAGTTTGATCCCACTTCCCAAATCAAAATCGCAGATCTTCACGGGAGAGATCTACAGAAAAAAGAAAGAAAAATAAAATCCATAAATTCCACTGTGAAATGAGTTAAGAGTGGCCACTGAGTATTCCTAAACAGTTAACCCGGGTCAATTCATGTTTTCGTTCAAGAGCACAAAAAGCACATAAAATGTTACTGTACCCAACAGATTTGTCAAAAATCTGGTCAGAAATGCAGTGCATGTGTGTTCTCCTCAGATGTCTCAGGTCTCCTCATGTACAGAGAGAGACACTCACCCTGTCACTATGTTCACAGAGGATGTTCTCTGGCTTTAGGTCTCGATGTGCCATCCCTATAACAAGACATAAACAATTATCTATATCGATAATATATAGAATGCATGATAACATCATGTTGTATCAACACTAAAGGTCCCAACCTTTGTTGTGTAGGAAGTCCAGAGCACTGGCGATGTCCTGCACCACTATGCTGGCTTCCTGCTCATTGAAGTGTTGTCTTCTGTGTATGTGAGTTAAGATAGAACCTGGGAATACAAATGAATGCATGAAGATTTAGGACTATAGATTCTTTACAAAATGAATACACACACAAAACCAGTTTTAAGGTGGATACGTTTTTTGTGTGTGTTTCTCAGGTGTCTTATGCTCACTAAGGCTGCATTTATTTTATGAAAAATAACAAAAACAATATTGAGAATTACTACAACTACCATTTAAAATAAAGGAATAGTTCACCCAAATATGAAAATGGTCATTTACTCACCCTCATGTCGTTCCAAACCTGAATAGGTTTCTTTCTTATATTGAACACAAATGAACATAAGAATAATTGAAGTTGAAAAAGTAAGAACTGAACTGAAGAATTTTGAAACAAACGGTTGTTGGTCCCCACTGACTCTCATAGTAGGGAAAGAAATATGGAAGTCAATGGGGACCATCAGCTGTTTAAATTACCAGAATTCTCCAAAATATATTATATATATATATATATTTTTTTTATATATATATATATATATTTTTATTATATATATATATATATTTTTTTTCCCCAACATAAGAAAAGAAACTCATACAGGTTTGTAATGACATGAGGGTGAGAAAATGACAATTTTCATTTTTGGGTGATCTATACCTATAACTTAGTAGGTAAAGTAAATACCTTTTCTATTTAAAAAAAAAAAATTAAAACCAAATATCAGTAGTAATCATATTCACACGCACACAACAACAACAATTAAAAAAAACATAACTTACCGCCTCTCAGTTTCTCAAAGACTAAATTAAATTTGTCCTCTTCCTCAAAGTATTCAACCAGTTCCAAAATGTTTCTGTGGTGAGAAAAGACATTAACATTAGCCATCAATTATACACACGGTAATGAAGCTTAAAGGAATCTTTTTCAATTAGTCTTAATGAGCTTCTCAAGCTTTGTTCCAAAACCTCGTCTTAAGGTCTATGTAGGCAGCAGTCTAAAGCAGCATCCTGACAGTTATAAAACTCAATCACAGTCGATTTCAATACAGTTTTCATTTAGTTAAGCTAACCGCATAATACATGAATAATCAATTACATCAGAGCCATTTTTAAATTGGTAGTTTAGTTTAGTTTGGCGTATTAAATTAAATTTCTCTCCCCTTGGCCACCATGTTGGATTTATTTTCCCCCCCCCCAGAGTTTGTCACAATGCACTTTGGTATTTCTGTGACCTTTACATGCAATTTTCCCTTAGAGGTTTCGAACAGATCAGTAGTGTCACACAGAGCATCCCGTACCTGTGGCCCTGGCACTGGTAGAGCATTTCCACCTCCCTGAAAACACGGCTCCGACTGTGGCCTGGCCTCTTCTCAATTATCTGTAGAACATTGAAACATCATATTAGTGACCTAATACAAACCCTAGGAAGGACACATTGTGTTCCGACCTTGAATTACAGAACTCAAGAGTACGTTTTGACGGGCTCTTCTGCTACCTGGACACAGACCTTATAGTACGCATTTGTTTTTAAGTGGCAAAACCCTCAGACATGAGCTCGATTCTGAGATGACGTGAACGAGTCGACAGATCTGCGTGTCCCTTTGTGGATCACCATCACTCGGCGCGTGTGGGAGATTAGCAAGCACACAGATGACACACCACTACCTGCCTTACAAAAGAACATCTCAGACCACTGAGTCAGCAGGTCACCACATGGTCATCGGGCTTTACAAGCTGGCGGACTAGACAGACGATCAGGTTTCACAACATACAGGGCATCCAGACCATGTGTGCAGTACAGAAAGTTGCAGTGCACTCGCCCCAAAAGAAGGGTTGACTAAATGGCAATTAAATTCTACAATAGAACCAACAATGCCACCAATTTTCTGGTCTCATTTACTGGGTGCACAGCCATCGAAAGGCCATCGACAGCTGGGAATGTTGTAATAAGTGGTGTATAGCAGTGAACTTAAATAGAATTTAAATAGCAGAACTTGTCTATTGAATTTTACACTGCCATTTTGCGTTTGCCTGTTTTTGAACTGAATCTCTTCTGCTCACTGAGCCTGCATTATAAATACAGTATAAACAGTAATACTGTAAAGTATTATAATTTAAAATAAATGTTTTCCATATGAATATTTTAAAAAGGTGATTTCTGCAATGTGGAGAACCTGCTGTTTTCAATTTTGCATTCCCTTTGGCAAGTTACAGAACATGTCCCATGAAATGCCACATGAACATCCCGCACTCTTCAATTAACACACATTGCATATATATATATATATATATATATATATATATATATATACACATTCCATCTACTAGGTCAAATCGATGTAGCGAGAGACACCACACTGCTTTTTCAAAGACTACATGTCCTGCTAAACAATATCAACAACTGAAAAGAGGAAGTTTCTCTGCTGAGCAGGCACTGTGGTCATTTATATTTTTGTTCCACAGCTGCAGCAGCAGTACAGTAGCTGGAAGGTCATTGTTCCAGAGAGAAGTACACATAACAAATAAAATGGACACCGCTCAAACGACCATGAATAAAAGCTAGAGTCCTGCATTTCCTGAAGAGGGCTGAAACACTGATACAGAGCCATCTGTCCCAGCATAAACCCCCTTTTATTCTTATGTAACACTCTACATTGAAGGCAGGACACATAACTAAGAAGCAAAGTTTGCTTCCTTCAAGTCATATTCCTAGTGTCAAACACTTGGGAGTGTTCAATAATAAACCACTGATGCTCTAACGCCATTTAAGAGAACATACTAACAATGTCCTCCTGCTACTCAAATTTAGATTTAGAGTTTTGCAGAAGAATCCACTCTTTAAATCTGTTCCCCTTAGTCTGTTCAGATTGTGCAATTTACATTAAACAGTCACATTTTTGTTGTTGCAGAAACAGCCCCTATTCATTCCATTAAAGGGATAGTTCACAAATGAAATTAAATTGTCATTTACTCGCACTCATGTCATTCCAAAAGATGATATTTTGAAGAATGCTGGTAATCAAACAGTTGATGGTCCCCACTGACTCCCAAAGTTATTCTTTCCCTACTATGGAAGTCAAAGGGGACCAACAACTGTTTGGTTCTTCAAAATATCTTCTTTTGTGTTCAGCATAAGAAAGAAACTTCTAAAGGTTTGGAACAACATGAGGGTGGGTAAATGACAGTTTTCATTTTGGGTGAACTATTCCTTTAAAGGGGTCATATGATGCGATTTCAATTTTTACTTTCTCTTTGGAGTGTTACAAGCTCTTGGTGCATAAAGAAGATCTGTAAAGTTGCAAAGACTAAAGTCTCAAATCCAAAGAGATATTCTTTATAAAAGTTAAGTCAACCACGCCTACCTAAAACGGCTCGTTCTAACACGCCCCCACATATCTACGTCACTATGTGGTAAGATTTGCATAACGCCGCCCAAATGTTCACGCAAAGGCGGCGTAACTTTTACTCTCGCTGTAGTATTGTTGTTGTTGCCACCGCCGCCGCCATGTCGTGAAGGCACTGTGTTTCGTTGAGAAAGCGAAACTACTTTGTTTGGCCTTCCAAAAGAGGACGATATCTGCTCTGTCATGCCTAGAGCTGATCTGTGCGGTTCGCTGAGGAAATACATCAACTTCACGCTGTCGATCGTCGGATCGGCTTTCACCGTGGACGAAGCGGAGTCCAGCCCGGAATCGTCCCATGTGGTTGCCACAAGCCCGCCGGACACTCCGTCGAATCCGCGCCGTTCTCAAGCCCGCCCACCTCTGCTCACTCAAGCCGGCCTCCGCATACTCTAGGCCACAGCTCACTCAAGGCCGCGGTGTGTGACGCTTTTTCATTGTGAATGCGAAACTACTTTGTTTGGCCTTCCAAAAGAGAACACGACTAGAAATCAGTGGTTAAGTTGTATTTACAACACTGTTCCAGAACGGTTCAACCCAAATATTCAGATGTGTGCAGCGCATTTTATGGAGGACTGTTTACTGATCCTGGTAGAGTAGACTACAATGCCGGCTGTTCTGACTCACAGACTGCAAGTACGTTTTTTTTATATTTAAAGAATTTGCCACTGATGATTCAAACGCGAGTTTTTTGGGCAGTGTAGAGTAGCACTTGTTGTTTGTCATTTCTCCGATCACAAATGCAGACGTGGTTTTATGTTACGCTCCGGTCGGACAGGGCATCACAGTATGGCAAGGGGCATAACATTTCCGTCACACGCTTGAGGTATTCGGCCAATCACAACGCACTGGATAGCTGGCCAATCAGAGCACACCTCGCTTTTCAGACCGATGAGCTTTGTAAAAATGTACGCGTTTCAGAAAGGCGGGGCATTTTTTTTAACCTTAAACCACAAACACATTTCATTACACCAAATAATGTTATTTTTAGCGGCATCATATGACCCCTTTAAGGGGCAACTTAAGAAATCAATGAATAAAATACATAATATTGTTGTATTACATTTAAGTAAATTTTATAATATTAAATTCTCTATACATCAGAATATTATAATAAAATATAGGTTTTACTTTGCTTCAAATGTTTAAGCACCTTTTTTGTAATAAAATTAAAATGAGGCAAATAATAATAAAAAATAATAATAATAATTTGCTACCTAAGCTTTTTATTTTCTGGTTGAAGCACATTATCCAGGTATCACCCATTTTACAAAATGCAGCAATAATATAAAACATGCTTGAAAACTGTGTCTTGAGTGACATAAGATCAGCTCAAATCACAGCAAGCTCCAATTACAGTCTGGGACTCTGTGACAGCAAACTCAGAGCAATCATAAGGAGAGTATGGCCTAAGAGGGTATTTTGCTATGGCAACTGGAGTTTAACCTGAACATGGATAAGACACTGATTATTTGATGGTTGTATGAGCACTGACAACAGTTTGTTTGGCAATATGCTGCTTTAAATAAAAGATACTTGCCTTTACTGCATATTCTTTATTGGTGACCAGATTAATGCAGGTCTGAACAACAGCATAAGCCCCTTCTCCAAGAATCTCATTTTGTAGTTTGTAAACATCTGCAAAGGAAAAACTGAATATTTACCCTCTACAGACAGTGAACCTCTACTCCAGGCTTGAGCATTTAGAAAAGATCAACAAAAAGGACTTGCCTTCAAAACGTCCGGAGAAACTGTCAGTGGCTCTGCATCGTTTTTTCTTTTTATTTCTCTTCTTGGCATCAGGGATATCGATGGGCTGGCTGAATGGCATGTCTTTAAAAAAAACAGTTAAGATGAACAATGTGTGCCAAGTCCATAACTCTAATCTGCTATGAACTTTGCCTAACAAAGCATTAGAGATAAGCAATATCTCCTCAATAAGTATCTCACCAGGGTTTACGTCAACCTCAAAGACTGATAATGACAATCAATATTAAAGAAAATGTAGGCAAAATAGATGTACCAGGCCTTGGCGAGTGGTCTAACTTGAAGGATGAGTCAACATGGGGTTCCGAATCTATGAATTCATCAGTCCTGAAAGGGTTTTGCCCCTGGGAAGAGGGGAAAAAGTGTCACAAATTAAAGTCTGCCATTTCACATAAAACACTTTCTGGTAAATCACAAGTCGTTACCAACCTTGAAGGAGCGATGGAATCCTGTGACCTCTGTGATTTTGTTTTGCACCATGGTTTCAAATGGTCAGATAATAATATGCAGCTTGGTGCCTTAATCACAGTGCAGTGGCTCCTTTCAATCAAATACTGATCACCTCAAGGTGGTCGTGCAACAGATGACTCCTGTTTACACGGACAGACAGAAACAGCATCAATATGGCCCTGAACAGATGCTCTTGAGAGACTGAGAAATTAGGAAAGCTCATGCACAGACTTGATATTTTTGACATTGCAAGGGGCAAAAAAAATCTGGAAATTTGACAAAAACAAACAAATGAATGAACTTGCTATTAAAGTTGAGAAATATATCAACTGACAAATCTTATGCAAGTAGTTAACCATCTATTTAATCTTAGTTTACAAGCTGTCAGTAGCTATTTTTAATAGGGATGACAGAGTAACCGCTCTCGGGGCTGCATGCGGTTGCATTCAGAAAGACTGGAGGTGTTTTTTTTCTCAAAAAGAGTTCCAGAAATCATTAGGTAAGTTAGTGGAAAGGGAGTCATCTCTTACCCCGTTACTAGCCGTGAGACGCCAGCGTTCACGCCGTTGCTCAACCCAACTTGTTATTAGGTTACTACTCTGTGTTTGTCAATAGTAAACTGAAATTGAGAGATCTAAGTATATATAAGGTCGTATCTTGCACTCCGCCCACTCTGCATTCCATATCCAATCAAAATGATTGCTTTGAGAGTCAGCGTTAAAAACTCAGAACACTATTGGACATTTCAATTACAGGGGCGGAGCATCCCGTTCCTAGCGTCTTCTATTCAGAATCAAAATTGGACAGGCGCTTTAATTACACTGGACTTGTTTATTGCCCCATCTACTGGGCAGTGGAAAAATTAGTACAGTTTTAAAATGAACACACTTTGTTTAGGAAACATGCATTTAATATATAAATATGATATATGTATATATATATATATATATGTATATTGTTTACTGTCATATAAATATATGCATAAGTTGATGTAAATATTGTTGGGAACAGCTAGGGGTTTCAAACTGTGTTCAAGTCATAAGTTTAACATCTAAGTATCTAAACTTAATCGTTCAGTTTTTTAAAGCAATTTTTATTGTTAGATTATTTTAATATAACTTAATTGAAATAAAATTCATGTTTAGAACCACGCCTGTAGTGAGCAGGCAGGATATGTGGCTCACTGCAGCCATCTACTGGTCTTTATATTTCCTATGCATTAATTAATTTAGTTAATGTAGTACCCAGTTGTGTACAGCATTCGAGTCCATTTCTGCTACCTGTCTGGCTGCCAACTCTCGCGCATTCTCTTTCTATACTACATATAATCCATTCAGATTTTGCATTCTGTTCACCCATATGCAAGTGGGATTCAGTTTCGAAACGGCAGTGATAACCGTAGCAATGAACAGGAGAAAATATAATTTATCAAACCAGATGTGCAATAAGCAATGTAAATGCAGACTAAACGATTAATAGAAAAGGTTGTTAATTTTCTTAAAACATTTTTCCCACGGCTGCAACTTTTTTTTAAACATAAATTTATAATAAAAACAGTATCATGACATTAACTACTACACGTCCAAACATGTAGGCCTATATAGCTGAGGTAAATTTCAGATAAATAAATGCATTTGATCACAAGCACAAGGTTAAACAACATAAAAACTTAAAAGATGTACAGGACTCGGAAAGCAACTGTTGCAGAATTGTATTTGTCTCATTTATGTGCCACGTCTACAGGCTGTGTGGATAACAAATGACAGAAAACTCTCTTACTAAAATCAAATCTGGTGTAAAACAAAAGATTTCCTAATCAGCAACTGTGTGCTGCGTAGAATTGAGATAAATGCGAATTCAATCATCTTCTACGTTGTCATCAGTCAACAAACAACAAGACGGACTGAAAACGGGAACTTATGTTCTCGCGATATTTAATGACGAACGTAACGCACGTAGACAGGGTGGAAATACCATAGACTGTATAAAAACAGGGAAATACACGGTGTAGCTAGATAACCGCTTTCATTTGAATTAATGTCTGTGTTTAAAAAGAAGCTTTGAAAACTTTGAAAAGTGTCATAGTAAGTGCACTATAAATAATTGCTCATGAACACAAATAGCGATGTTTTGTTTTGCGTCTGCGGACGTCCCTGATAGTTTACGTTACGTTGGTGAGCTGTTCTGTTAGTTTTATCAGTAAAGCCAATGGATTGCTTATTGTTTAAACACTATTGATCATGTGCATATTATTCTACTAATTGCTTTTACGTCTACTGTGTTGTTCCTCTTTGCACACCCACATTAGAATTTACTACGTGCCATTCACTGAAAGTGTGTATGAGATATACTGAACTAAATCATATTTTGTCACATTTATGTTGTCTAAATTAGGTCAATTGTTATCCTAGGTTGCAGGTCTGGCTGGAACAGGAACCATCCCACTACCTCAACTACAAGCAATCACCATGGAGGGTAACTTATGCCATTATCAGTACTATACTGTGCACATTAAAGCCCAGTATAAGTAGAACTAGTATGCAATGTTCCACCAGGCTGTCAAATGTCCTGCTCGTTTTTTGGGTGCAAGAGGACCTACAATAGTCCTGAAGCACTGAATAGTCATCTTCAGGACCATCAAAAGAACACTGCCGCTTCTCTGTCTCTTCCAGGTATATTTTTACTAGTGCCCTTGATGAATGAAATGCTGTTTGCAAACATTTAATCAATTCATTCATAATCGTAAACAGTGTCACATCAGCAATTTGGTGTCTAATGCACTGTCCTTTATTCTTTAGGGAAAACCTTCATATGCTCTCATATAGGATGTGATGGTTCATTCAACAACATGCAGCAGCTAATGGAACATATGAGGCACCACCACAAGCCAAATAATTTTTTCCTGTGAGTTCTTACAGATTTGCTTTTAGGTTTAAGCTTTCTTAATAAGGTTATTTAATTTTACTCTTTCTTGCCAGTCCATAATTTCTCATAGAGGTGCTCATATTTGAATGTCTCAATGAAAAGGGACTTAACGCCACCAAAGAAAAGTCTGTTGTTACACTGGCAGATCAAGTTCTGATGTTTTTTTTTGTTGTTTTTTTTAAATATGAGGTAAAACTAACAAACAAACAAAATGATGCAATGACGTAGTTAAAATATCCAGTAGTATGAGTTTTCGTAAATACTACCGTGTATTGTGCACGTTTTTTGACAGAAAATGTTTCATTCAGTTGTTGCTGAATTTTATTTATTTTTTACTTTTCTAGCACTTATGTTCTGCTCTAATGTTTGTTTCAGCTTTATGCTTCTTCAGTATCATAATTTTCATGTCCTTCAGGTGCGAGAGCTGCAGGGCCAAACTGCGTTCTTACCGCACTCTTCTCAAACACCTGCAGACCTGTGCTAAAGTTGCTAAGAACAAGGCTGCAAAAATAGAGACTGGAATGGCACCTGACGCAGATCCCACCAATGTTCCGCTCGCTTCCGCTGACATGGAATCATCTGGACCCCTCTTAGCCCCAAATGCACCTGAGGAGATGGAGTCTATGCCCTCTTTGCCCACAAATCCAACACTGGCAAGCATGCCAGTAACCCAGCGGCTCCCAGAAAACAACGCATTCGCTAACCCCATACCTGCAGGGCCTGTAACTGTGCCCCTTGCCACTCTAAATCCTGCCTCAATCCAAAATCTTCTTTGCCAACCAGAATCTCCCTACAGCTCTTTTCCACCTACTCTGTCTCCTGTTAACCCAGTCTTCCAGGCTGATCCGGGGCTACAGCAGCAGCAGAGGTCTCCTAGGTCTGGTCCTCCCAGTCTGGCCGCTTCACCACCCCTGCCGTCACCACCAGGATCAAACGCAGTCTGGAGGAAGAACCAAGGTAAATGGATCTCATAAAGCTTTCCTCTGTGAGTGAGGAAAGCCAACTTAAAACAAGTGTCATTGCTCACAATGGGTCTCATTCACTAACTGTGTGTACACATGAATTTGTGCATGAAATCTGATCATGATTCATACAATAAAGTATTAAAACATTCTAAATTAATGGACAAATGCCAGTATAAAAATGCAGAACATGTTAATTTGACATTGATTAAATAGATACAGTACTTGTCAAAAGTTTGGAATAATTAAAAGAAAAATAAGAACTTTGGATTTGTTAATGTTTTCCAAGGCTGCTTTTATTTGATAAAAATACAGTAAAAACAGTATCAAAAATACAATATAACTTTGAAAATATAATTAAATATTACAGGTTTTTTATTTTTAGCATTCATAATAATCCACGTTGGAAATCAGCATATTAGAATTATTTCTGAAGGATCATGTGACACTGAAGACTGGAGTAATGGCTGCTGAAAATTCAGCTTTACCATCACAGAAATAAATGACATTTAAAATATATTATATTCAAATGGAAAATGGGTATTTTAAATTGTAATGATATTTCAAAATATTACTGTTTTTACTCTATTTTTGATTTTAAAATGCAGTCTTGGTGAGCATAAGAGATTTTTTTTAATGGACAATTATTATTCCAAACTTAATTTTTCCAAATGACGAACTTCAGACATGCTTTCAGTCATTTAGAATAATCCAAATTCACTCAACAAAGTTAAGAACAAATTAATGTGCGTATGCACTTGTTGTGAACTAGGCAGACATTTTTCATGAGGAGTTCTGTCTACATAAATACAGATCCACACAATTATTATTGAATGAGACCCATTGTTCCTTAAATCATCCTACATTTTAGACCCTGTTCACCTGTGTATTTTCCAGTTTGCTCAACTGATCTCACCTGCTTATCAACAGGTGTGAGTCCTAATGAAAGGGAATTTGTAAATCACTTGGGGGGGGGGGGGGGGGCCTAAGACTTGGCCATGGCCGCTTTGGGTGAACTGTGTTTTGTCGTGTTGCACTGTCCTGCCAGACCTGCCCGGGCCCCTTTTGCACAGATGGAACTCTCCGAGCAGTCAGAGTTTAAATAGAGATGAAGTCCAGGTGAGGCACAGAGAATTCCACACACACATTGCTTGAGGGAACAATCAGATCTTCCCTCAAATGCTAATCCTTCTCCCCTTCCCCTGCTCTAACCGGGCTCAGTGTTTCCCTGGGTGTGCCATCTAGCTGTACGACTCAGTCCACTCCCATTCGATCCTAAACACATGTCCCGGTGCTTCACTAACATGCAATAAAACATCAGAGAGTGTGCTTTCAGGGCCGGTGTTCCTTGACTTCAATTTTCCCCTTCCCATTAGCATTTTGCAAAAATCAGGTGGTCATTTCTGGCAAGAGATGGTGCTGTATCATAATAATTGACCATGTGTGGAGAAGTTGACAACGCTTGCTAATTCCAACACTTTTGTGCCCATGTTCATCTGTCTAAACTGGGTTTAATGATGGTTTTAATTGTGTTGCTCTTGTTTATATGAGCCAATGTCATTGATCACTGGGTTCTTTTTCCAGCTCAATCTGACACTTTTACTGGTGAAGGTTTTTTTTCTGTCTGTCTACAAACGTTCTCAGTGCACGTATAACCATGAGTATAATAGTCTTTGAGTTCATTTTGATTTTAATGACTCCCCATTAATTAAATCTGTCAGGTCAGTCCTTCAACTGCCGCATCCTGTGGGAGCACACAAGAGGTCGGTACAGTTGCCTACAGTGCGGCCACTGCACCCCAGACCGGGGGGAGATGACCACTCATATTGAGGGCCAACACAAGAACCCAGGGGGCAAAGTAAACACTGATCATGGTATGACTTCTGTACTTCATTTGAATTGCAGTGCACTTTTATTTTATTTTATTGGGCTGCAGGGATAGCCCAAAAATAAAAATTCTCAATGTCATTCACTCATTTATGATTGCTCCAAACCTGTATGAATTTCTTTCTTCTGCCGAACACAAGAGATATTTTGAAGAATGGGGGTACTGATTGCTACAGTATGGAAAAAATGCTATGGTAGTCAATGGCTACCGTCAACTGTTTGGTTGAATTTTAATTTTTGGGTGAACTATCCCTTTAAGGCTGGAATACACTACGTGACATTTGCATAGATTTTTGCCCCAATTTCCAGTCTATATGAGTCAATGTTAGTTGTCAGAGTCAGTCTGCAGGTTTTTGTTTGTCAGAGTTCACAGAATACACCGTGTATGATGACTTTTTTTTTGTTTCAGACTATGAATCTGTCTAGTCAGTGGATATCAAACATATTTTCATACAATTTTAGAACACATATGGTGTTCATTTGTCAAGTGTCTAGGGTTAGGGGCAAATGTTTCTGCATGGGTTTTTTGTTTTTGGAAGGATTTGAATATTGAATATCCTCAGTTGTTTAGTGTACAATGTCCAGTTTTGCGCTGTAACCATTTACAAAGTTGGCAAATGCAGGATGCCTAGTGTTTTAAAATATGTTCCAATATTAAAAATTGTGATGTGTATTTCAGTCTTGAAGGAATGGGGATTGTGCACATGAGAAAATCCTAGTAAAGGCTGGAATACATTGTAAAAACATTTTGGTCTGATATTTTGAGCCGACTTTAGAACACATTGTTTTCATATCATGTGTCTCCTAATAAAAAGGCACATGTTCCTGTGTAAGTTTGTTGTGTTTGAAGCAGCTTTTAAGTTTGTGTGTGTGTGTGATCCTTAGTTGTTTAGTGTATGGTGCCCAGTTTTTCTCTGTAACCATTTACAAAGTCAGCAAGAGTATAATGCCTAATGTTTTAAAAGCTCTTTAGATTTGAAAAGACCTGTAGTGCACTGTATTCCAGCCTTTAGCCTTTTGAAAGTATGTATGTACACAATATAGTGATGTTATCTCACCTGACTGAACCTTCTGTGTATTTTACAGATACAGAGATTGCCACCGCATCTTTACCGGCTAAGACTTCACTAAACTCTGAGAACTCAACTTATACACAGCTCTAACATGAAATGAGATGCTAAACCTGCTGATTGACAAATAATTTTGGTAGTAGCATTTTATACAGAGGGAGATACTCAATTTTTATTTCACCGACAGTGTGGACTTCAAGCGTCTGTGGTCTGGATCTGTCAATATCACTATTCAAACACATGAAGAGCTGCATGCCTTCCCTTCAGTAAGCATTTATGAGTCACCTAGACTAAGAAAATATCTTGTTAGGTTTCATTAAATAATTTGAAATGGCATATAAATAAACTCCGTAATGTTGTAATATTATGTCACCTGCATTTTTATTTTTCCTTTTTACGATAGGAAGTATCTGCAATAGAGAACAGCAATTGTGTTCAAAATGAATGTGTCGTTTGAGTTAAAAACATAAAATTATGCCAAATGTTCAGTCTATTTCAGTTTATTCGAGAATAAACCATTTTGTTTCTAGACCAGTTGTTTGTACTGTTCACTACCTGCAAATAAAACCTGTCTAGAAAATGTAATTTAGTTTAAATTGTGATGTGAGTCAGTTTCTCATCTTATTGTGAAATCTACATTAATGTCTGTGGAGGAATGCCTGTTTTTTTTTAAGTATTTGATGTTTATAAATTGTATAGGTTCATTTTATATATATATATATATATATATATATATGTGTGTGTGTGTATATATTAGTAATTAAATTGATATAAATAGAAATACTTTAAGAACCGCACGAAAGAAATTGACTGAAAAACTTCCGTAAAATACAGTAATAGGTGGAGCAACTTTAAGTATTTGCATAGTGTATAAGCGCAATTTTAAAAAGTATCTGAAAGATGTGGAAGGGACACAGAGGTAGATGAGAGCCATTCTGCTTTTATTTTAAAAACTGTCAGTGTCGCGGCCATTTGTTCAAACTGTTCAGTTTCTCCCTTCACACTCCATCAGATGTGTAACAGCGAGGATGCACTTTCAATCTACTTCAACGCTTTTGTAAATAGACTAAACAACCGGAACATAGGCAACAATGGAGAACATGGTAATAAGACTTTACTGACACTGCCAGACAGCCAATAGTGAGGAATAGGCATGGTTTTTTATCATAAAAACATTTATACTGAAAGACGAGGCCAACGTTTCTGTGAAGATGGTTAGGATGCTAACTTAGCCGGCTAATCCTTCTTACGAGGCTTAAAGCAGGAAACCCGCGGAATTACATTAGTGTTTTATGTAAATTTATGTCGTGACGAAGATATGCTTATAGAAACCAAAATGTCCTTTTCTAAACCTCAGGATTTGGCTTATAGGACATATGGACTCTTGAGTTCCAGGCAGCACTCACTAGCTGTCCAGTTAGCCTGGACCTGTCTCAAAACCTAGTGAACTGCCTTCATAGACAGCATTTTGGGCGCCCTAGGAGCGCGCGAACGTTCGAACTCTTCCACGATCAAAACATGCTGTCTAGATAGGGTGCTCACTTAGGATTTGAGACAGCCACCAGGAGAAAATTCTTCCATTTCAAGGTTGGACGCATGAGTAATGTTGGCTTGCATATTAAAAGCAACGCTTAGATTATAAATATTGAGTGATGGAATATTACATCTGCTGTGTGCATCTTTAAATGATTAAAGAAAAGTCAAACAGCTGTTTTTTGAAATTGAACTAGAAATGTGAAATGAAATTCTGCAATGTCTTTGAAGTTTAAGTAACTACATGCATATAAATGACCACAATTAATTAATTAAACAACACCTGACTAATTTTAATAGAATCTGTCTGTCTGTCTGATAGACTTTGAAACATCAAGCTTTTAAATCTACTTGCCAGGCTTTCTCAAGCCAACATCAATCATGAATTGACAAACTTTTTATCTAGTTATTTTTGACATGCACTGCTTGTGTAGTTTTGTGTTATGCAGTCACTGTAAAAATGTTTTAGGCACAGATAGGATGCGAACTCAGTCAACTCTGGCAAGGAATTTATTAACCATTGAGCTAACGCATACAAGCCTATCAGTCATTTTGTTTCCATACTAAGAATAGCTGTAAACAGTAAACCATCACACACATTTAGAATGACACAGAACTGTGAATTTCCGTCTCTAGCTGTCAGAGAGCAAAAGCTGGTTGATTTCTCAAAGATATAAATAGCAGATATAACAGTGGTGTTGAGAAGCTGGCCTTTAGTCTCTGAGTTATACATGTCACTCACTGATGAAGTATTGTAATCTTTTTTTTTTCAATTTCTACTGTACTACTGTTGTAGGACTCATGTTCAGAATAGAGAAGACTGATCGATGACTGCTGCTTTCCTCTTATTTCAGTGCACTGTGCAGGTGAAACTGGAGCTGGGACACAGAGCCCAGTTAAGGAAGAAAGTCACTACCGAGGGCTTCACACATGACTGGATGGTGTTTGTTCGAGGCCCAGAGGCGTGTGACATCCAGCACTTTGTGGAGAGAGTTGTCTTCCACCTTCACGACAGCTTCCCTAAACCCAAGAGAGGCAGGTTTTCATTTGAGTTAATGTCGTAACACTGTGGCTTTATACAGTACTCACAGCCATGTAGGTTAAAGTCCCTTTCAATCAGGATTAAAGAAACCATTTGTGTGGATGCCCATTTTCTTCTGTCGAGTTATCATGATTAATCCTGCCCGTTTAGCTCATGCTGTTGCCCAAACTAATATACTTTGTGTAGTTCCAGCATGTGACTATATATCTGTCTCTATTATAGATCAGTGATTTAGAGCTAAATTAAAGATGAATGTTTTTGAATTGCATATAAAATGTCCATATATTTGGAGTACAGTTTTAACATAAGACTTAAGTTTAATGTGATGTATATTTGTCAGTCATACATAAATTAAAGCAGGTCTATTCTGACTATTAACTATTTGCATCTATTTGATTTGATTTAAATAATAATATTTTCAAAATGCATTTATTCAAATTGCTTAGAATTAGAATAAATCTGTTTATTGTGACAACAATTACATTTATTCCGTTAAAAAAGTATGAATGTGGTTAAAATATGGCTAGCTGTTGAACAACCGGTATTTAGATCAAATGAATGAGATTGAAACATGACTGACTGATTGATAAATATAATCATATATAAATATATAAACCTGGTTATTTTGTTTTTAAAACACATTCAGTTCATTAGTATTATATATTGGAAATCATACCTGTTTCATTTTTGTTAGTCTGTCATCATTTATTCAGCCTTGTGTCATTCCAAACCCAGACTTCAGTTAATAATTAAGATATTTTAGAATTGTAATACAGCCTGAGAGGTTTCTGTCCCTCTATTGAAAGTCCATGTAACCAAAACTTAAAATATCAAAAAAGGTTAGGCATAATAAAATTCATACAAATTAATAGAGTAATTTAATTCAAGTATTGTAAAGAGATGTGATTGTTTTATATGATGATCAGAATTAATTTAGGCTTTTATTTACATCTAAACAATGGTGAAATTCCTTCAGTTTCTTTTAAGTATGTTTCACAAATAAATGTTCAGCTTTTAAACTAATTTTTGTATCATATCTGTGATTTGTTCATTTGCCACAAAGTAAAAAACCTGGATTAACATCATTTAAGTATGATTTCTTGATTCTTGATTTTTTCAAGGTGTTGTATATGAAGGTGAAGTGTGTCATTTTTTAATGTTACTTTCTCCTATCCCAGTTAAATGTGCAGAGACAACTATAAGTAAGCCATTTGTAGTTTGACTTCCCAAAACGTGTAAACACTGTGTCTCTGGAGTGCTTTCAAAGTATCTCCCTGAGTGGTCTGATATGCCAAACTCTGGCTAAAGCAATGGTGTGATTTGGGGGAGTGTTGCGGAAACCTGTTCGGAAAAAATGGTTCCATTGTGTCAGTAGTGGCAAAGGAATAGCACACTTCACCATATTGTAGTATGTACATAGTGCATTCTAGTTTCATATTTCTCTTTCAGTGTAGACTGTTAATGTTTAGCAATACATTTTTCTTGTTTCACAGTTTGTAAAGAACCCCCATATAAAGTGGAAGAGTCAGGCTATGCTGGTTTTCTCATGCCTATCGAGGTCTATTTCAAAAACAAGGTGAGCACATCCCATACCTACAGCAATATCTGCATTTTTTTTGTCTTCTTTATGAAGAACCGGTATGTAAGAAAAGTTCAGCACAGTGTTACGCTCAGTCTTTTTAGATGTGTGCGGCTGTGTTATTTTGCCAGTATTGGAAAAATGTTGTGATGAGGAGTTTTGCAATTCAGTAAAGGTAAAGGTCACCCAACTAGGTGAACTCAGTATTTGCACTGAGAGCTAACAGATTTTACAGACACGCTAACAGAGAATTGACATGAAGCTATTGAACTACAGTGGTAAGAATATGTGAATTTGAAGACTTACTTCCGTTTCATATCATTATCATTTTTTTCATATTTACTTTTCCAGAATACGTAGTGGAATATTTATGGGGTTTTTCCATTTTCTGTCTCGTTCCTTGAAACGTTATCTACCAAAGACTTTACTTTGACTGTAAATATTTCACACACTGCTAGTCTGAGGTTCAGGTTTGATACTGACGTTCATACTTTTCTCAACACAATTTCTTTATTAAATATTTGTTTTTATCTCTAAAGCCTGAACATGCTTGACCCTTCTATCACAGGAGGAGCCTAAAAAGGTGTGCTTTAATTATGACCTTTTCTTGAACCTGGAGGGCAACCCACCTGTCAACCACCTGCGCTGTGAGAAGCTCACATTTAACAACCCCACACACGAGTTTCGACGCAAGCTGGTCAAGGCCGGTGGGGTGAGTGCATGGGACTGTTTGTCTTTGCTTTTTCTGTACCTCTATAATCAGCTCTTTTCAACCGATTCTCACTCTCTCTTACTGTTGGGATGTTATTCTTGTCCCAGGCTGTAGTTATTCCTGAGGGAGCGGAGATGATGCCAAGACCCAGTCCAGATTATCCAATGCTGCCTACTATTCCACTCTCTGCCTTCTCAGACCCCAAGAAGATCAAGTCCTCTCATGCAGTAAAGGTTAGTAATAAAGTCATTCATTGGTCATTAAGTTATTTAAATTATTCAAAATTAATTAATAAAAAAAAAAAAAAAGTTGAAGTGTTTAAGAATATCCTATATGTTTTTGCTAGTGTATGTTGTTCCAAAGCTATATGACTTCCCTTTATATTTGAAACACAAATTAATATATTTTTTAATGAAACCTGAGAGATCTATGACTTTGCATTAAAAGGCCATTCCAAAGAAACTTAAAAAAAAAGTTAATGGAGAGATCATTAAACTAATCCAGATGAATCAAGCAGTTTAATGATAGTCTTCTGTAGAGATACAATCGCTTTATATGATGATCAGATTTAATTACATATAAACGTTGATCATACATAGAGCACATCAAATATGCTTGCTTGACGTGTAAAACCAAAGAGGTTTGTTTGGAGTATCACGCAAACACATTTGAACAAGAGGCTGCAACATTCTGACTCGCTTCTGCTAAAAATAGGTTAT